AGGGAGACCGACCGACCCGCCCCGCCCCTTGCGGCCCTCAGTTTATGTAAAGAGAGAGAGGGAGAGAGAGAGAGAGAGATATCTCTTTTCATATATATATAGAGAGAGAGACACACACACACACACACACACACACACAGGCGTGCTTCTTTAGACCCGTGTACAGACGTGCATGCCTATAGACCTGTGTACACATGTGCATATAGACCCGTGTTCACACGCGTGTTTGTGCCTGTAGGCCCATGTACACATGCGCATGGGAGCATATTGTATGTGCACGCATAAAGACCTGTTTACCTGCGCAGGTGTATAGGCCTATGTACATATGTGCACGTGCATATAGACCCATGTGTACACACACACACACACACACATATGCATGCATTTACATGTATACATACATGCATATAAACACACACATGTCTAAATTCAGCAAAAGGAATTAGCTAAATGAGCAGCTGGAGAGGGTGAAGGGAAAAAAAGCAGCAAAGGATTATAATAGTGAGGCAGAGACAGTGAGAACTAGCTGACTGCCCCTTATTTTTTGATTAGGTTTTTTATTTAAGTGCATTATACCCAGTGGCACTTTCCAGGCCATACATGGGGTCCTTCAGTCACCAAAGAGTAGCAGACTTGAGGAGCAGAAGGCAGTGTTTGCATCTGAAGTCAAATGAGGCAGTGGAGTGGTTGGTGGGGGGCAAAGTAAGATGGTCCAAGGAGGCACACAGGAGCTGGCTCGGGGTCAGTGAGGCTGAACGATGAAGCCTGGCGGCATACCCAGTCAGGCTGGTGCTTGGGTTTTTTCCTCCTTTGTTTAACCACTGAAGCTGTACTGGGTGCAACCCTGGCGCTTAATGCGTAGACCACATCCATGGCGATCATGGTCTTGTGCTTGGCATGCTCCATGTAGGTGGAGGCATTGCAGATGGCCTTCTCCAGGAAGACCTTCAGCACCCCTTGGGCCTTCTTGTAGATGAGGCTGGAGATACTATTCACACTGCCACGGCAAGCCAAGCAGCAGATGGCCAGCTTGGTGATGCCCTGGATGTTGTTCCTCAGCACCTTCCTGTGGAACTTGGCACCGCCTTTCCCCAGTCCCTTGCCGCCCTTGCTATGCTCAAATACGTTGACTGAGATTTCACGCAGGCTGGGGCTTGGACCCACTGGTATCTGCAGCCTCACTGGGACCCAGCTGGAACATAAGAGCTGCCATTGCCCAGGTCTCGCCCAGTCTCCTCTGTAACACCACAGTGGAGCCAGGTCTGGCAGCAGCAGCAACACCGGCAGTGGCAACTGAGCAGAGAGAACTGCTATTGCAGGGGCTGCTAGGAAGCTGAGTCTGGCCACCAAGCCAGTCCCACCCCACTGTGTGCCTGGGGACAGCAGGACTGGTCACACATGCCATGGTCTGGGCTGTGCCTATGCCTGGGCCAGACGGGGCCAAGGGATTCATCACAGGCTGGATAGAATCCCTTGCTGGGCCAGATTTTGCCCACCCCTAGCCCAAGACCATGACCTTACAGAACATCAAATAGGCCAAAATAAGTCAATTCCCTCAGTCTCTCTTCAAGAGAAGTCCTGTTACCTAGCCCTCCAGCCATTTTTGTTACCCTGTACTGGACTCTTTTCAATTTGTCCACATCCTTTCTGTAGTAGAGCCCCAAAAATGGACACAGGACTCCAAGTGTGGTTTCACCAGTGCCCAACAGAGGGAAAGAATCACTTCCCTCGAATTGTCCTTTACAAAGTCCTGACTTTTTAGTGCAGTATATGTAGATTTAAAAACAGTTAATGTCAGTGGAGCCTGTTGGTTTTTAAGCAAATAGTTTTTACATTACTGTTTCTAGAAGGGGAAATATTCTTTTTAAACTGAAGGAAAGTGTGAGTTTGTGCAACTTGCTATTTAACTGATGAAACTTTTATATGGCGTTTAGTTACTTTCACCTACACTCTACTTTGGGGAAATAAGACCTCTGTGTTTTTGTCATTAGAGGATCTCTTCTCTCCTAGCTCTCCTTTTTAAGCTCTTGATTGCAGTTGTCATTGTTTTATCCAGTGACTTGAAAGATTTATTGTTGGTGTTCTGTGTTTTCTCAAACTCCTTTTCAATATGAAGCAAAGCCAGATTGGAGGAAGAGATACTTTGAAATCAAAGATGTTACATGCTGAGGTAAAGCATTCTCTCACCCACTGAAACAGCCATAGTTTTCTTTAATAGATGTAGCTATTAGTTATTTTAGGAGTCAAAGTACTGTTATATTTGCAATGTTTTAAATGTGTTTACTAAAAGCGCTAATCTGGGGTCAGAGACTGTACCCCTAAATCTCTTGCTACTAATAGCTACTGAAGCCCCTTTCTTCCAAGAATGTGTCCAATCCCTTTTTAGCTTATTTAGCTTTGCTTTGCTAACTAAATTTAACCTGAGCCGTAGAATAAGCTTTGCTTGTAGGGTAGCTCAAAATCAGTTTTCCTTCAACATAGGTACTCTCACTCCTTGGGGGTTTGTGAGGAGCTTCTAGGAGTTGGGCTCCTTCCCTGCTCTACCCCCTCTCACCACTGGATGGGAAGCAAAAAAATGTCTAAATTACTCTACCGTATCACTTTGATTTTTGGAGATGTGACAGTGTAGTTGTAGGGTCACAAACTATTACTTTTCCATTGTCCACAACATGGAATCATAGGGATACAGTGCAGCTTGGCCCAAAAACGTTCAAGAACGATAGCCATTGATGAAAGCAGTTTGTGTTTCTGTTCAGTTTTGTTTGTTTTAATGGAGTTATAGGAGATGTTTTCAGTCTGCTTTTTATGTGAGAAGAAGACTAATTCCTGACTAGCAGGACTGAGAGGGAGGAGATCTGATTGGAACCAAAGGTTTTTCACATGTTTCAATATTATTCAGTTCTAATGGATTGATGCTATCTTCATACTTAAAAGGAGGCAGTACACTCCAGATTGACTGCCGTACTAAATGGACTATCAGCCTGGTATGATGGTTTGACAGGTTCTCACCAAGAACTTGTCCTTTGTTAACTGGCTGGCCATTGGATTGCTGACTTTGAAGTACTTTGGCTACTCTGCTTTGTTTCTAAAGTGTGAAGTAGTGATGTAGG